TAGTCGTGCATGCCACAAATCTGGCCTTTATGGAAGAGTGGCAAGAAGAAAGCCATAAGAAATCCTGTTTGTAGGTTGTAAGAGGGACACATCAAACATGTGGAAAAAGGTGCTCTGGTCAGAGAAGACCAAAATTGAACTTTTTGGCCTAAAAGCAAAAATGCTATGTGTGGCAAAAAAACTAACACTACACATCACCCTAAACACACCATCCCCACAGTGTAAAACGGTGGTGACAGCATCCTGTTGTGGGGATGCTTTTCTTCAGCAGGGACAGGGAAGCTGGTCAGAGTTGATGGGAAGATGGATGGAGCCAAATACAGGGCAATCTTAGAAGAAAACCAGTTAGAGTCTGCAAAAGACTTGAGACTGGGGCGTAGGTTTACCTTCCAGCAGGACAACGGTCCTAAACATACAGCCAGAGATAAAATGGAATGGTTTTAAATCAAAGCAATATTCATGTGTTAGAATGGCCCAGTCAAAGTCCAGACCTAAATGCAATCGAGAATCTGTGGCAATACTTGAAAATTGCTGTTCCCAGACACTCTACATCCAGTCTGACAGAGCTTGAGCTACTTTTTGCAAAGAAGAATGGGCAAAAAAAAATTTCACTATAGATGTGCAAAGCTGGTAGAGACATCCCCAAAAAGACTTGCAGCTGTAATTGCAGTGAAAGGCGGTTCTACAATTTTGAGAAAAAATTTGAGTTTTGACTGCAAAGACATGTGGCAGAATACATTTTGGCCTAAATTTATGATGAAATTTTATTTATTTTTTTTTTTTCTCTACTGGATATATAGTTTTTTTTCAAACACACAGGCGATCAAATACCACCAAAAGAAAGCTTTATTTGTGGGAAAAAAGGGCAGAAATTTAATATAGATGCAGCATTGCATGACCACGCAATTGTCCGTTAAAGTAACACAGGGCCATATCGCAAAAAATGGCCTGGTCAGGAAGGGGAGTAAATCCTCTGGAGGGCAAGTGGTTAATGTCCACCATCAAGTGCAATAAAATATATAGATTTATTTTGAACAAAAAAAAAAAAAAAAAAAATCACTTGGCATAACAGTGTGATGTCAAAGCACCTAGTGGCTCACCACTTTAAACAGAACTTAACATACAAAGTAAAAATCTGCTCCTTTAAAAGGAATAATTATTATGGACACATTGTTGCACAATATTTTGAAAGTGAATATTTTGTTGATACATTTTATATGGTATTATTGTAGCATTTTTTCTTGTTCAACACGAGATTTTGAGGTGGTCACACACGTTTCTTTGCACACTCCACAGTGAGTTGAGTAATTATTTATTATATCTTTGGCACACAGCTTTTCACATTTATGTCATACCAAAGTGCGTTGCAATGACAGATGTATTAGACTAATGTTCACTCTTGCAATGTTCCCCATAGAGTGATCCACATTTGGATGGCTCCTCAGAGAACATTTCACAGGCAGTGAGGAGGCATTGTATTACCTCCGCACCGTCTGTTTGAAAGTGGAACTAAAAGGACCAATACTTACGTTTCCTCCAACAGTCCCTCACTGGTGCCAGACTCTTCTTCTGTGTGGTAGTCTTTGTCCATCTGCATTGTCTGGTGCGGAAGAATGCCACTCCTGCACACACACAGCAGTCAGTCATTCTGGCACACAAGGATTGCGCTGGTACTGGCTGAGGGATTTACATGCTGGAGAACGCTAAGAGCAGGCAAGTGTAATTTATTGTACAAGAGGCATTGCATTACAAGGGTCTGCCTACTGGCAGTGAGTAACAGTGGGACCTTATTTCCACTTTAACCCTCTAAGGCACCATTCACATGGCTGATTACTTCCATGTGCTGTGTAGGGCTTCATTCTGCTGGCACAGGGATGCACAGGTATTACATGCATCCCCATGCTGGCAGTCCCATAGACATCTATTGGGACATACTGCTGTACGGACACAGTTGCTCCATCCCAATGTCACATCTGTGCAGGTGGAGGGGGGGTGCATGGTCCTGAATGAACCCAGGGTGAGGTTGGGGACACACCCACATGGATGATACATTGGCTGTATCCTGAAAAACCTCTCTGGGACTGCTAGACACCTGTGCATCCCTGTACTGTCCGTACACGATCCTGCAAGGCACAAAGGAAACACAAAAAAAAAAAAAAAAATCAGCCATGTGATTGAGTCCTAAATGCTGGATTACCACACAGCAACTATGTAAATCTGCACAGCTGTGGGGTGGTTGCAATGTGGCCTCACATTTGGTGGGTGGTAGTGCCTGCCAAATGAGAAAGGGGGTATAATTCCCAACCCCCCCCCTTCCCAATGTGGAATGTGTACACCCCAACTGCTGCCTTTCCAGCTAAAGGGGGAGTGGTTGAGGGGTGAAAAAAAAAATGTGTCTCTAGTGTGGTTTTACCTCCCCCCAACCGTTAACATAAATGATGTCTTACCAGAAAGCAAACTGTGATTCAGCTCAGTGTTAGTGGAGACAATTGGATTCATTTAGAGGAGGGTGAAGTGTTAGGCTACTTTTATACTGCTCCGCTAAATGCATCAAAAAAGCATATGCGTAGGGGTAGGGGCGGGGATAGTTTTGGTGTTTTTATGTTCTTTCTGGCTAGGCCAGTTTAATGTACTTATTGTGTCTCTGTGTATTTAAGTACAGCCATACTTGTTAAACATCATTTCTGCGGTGGGTTGTGTTTTCTATGTGTTGGCATTGCGTTTTACCCCACTGGAGAAAGCATTTTCCATTAAGTTCAATGGGGAGGTGAGTTTTTGGCACAGTTTTTTTTTTTTACTGGATCAAGAATGCTCCAAGAAATGAAGCAAGCAGGATTTTTTTCACAGCAACGGACCATCACTGACCCACCACCAACACGGTCATGCTGAACAATGTTTCAGGCAGCATAACATTCTCCACAGCTTCCCCAGACCCTTTCACATCTGTCACATGTGCTCAGGGTGAGCCTGATCTCATCTGTGAAAAGCACAGGGCTCCAGTGGCAGACCTGCCAATTCTGGTGTTCAGTGCCAAATGCCAATTGAGCTCTATGGTGATGGTCAGTGAGCACAGGGCCCACTAGAGGATGTCGGGCCCTCAGGCCACGCTCATGAAGTCTGTTTCTGATTGTTTGGTCTGAAATATTCACACCAGTGGCCTTCTGGAGGTCATTTTGTAGAGCTCTGGCAGTGCTCATCCTGTACCTCCTTGCACAAAGGAGCAGATACCGGTCCTGCTGATGGGTTAAGGACCTTTTACGGCCCTGTCCAGCTCTCCTAGAGTAACTGCCTGTCTCCTGGAATCTCCTCCATGCTCTTGAGACTGTGCTGGGAGACACAGAAAACCTTCACTAGTTTGGCTAGGGTCAGTGTCACTACTGGTAGCATGAGGCAATATCTGGACCCTACATAGGTTGCACAGGCAGTCCAACTCCTCTAGGTTGGCACATCAATACGGGCCATTGCCAGAAGGTTTGCTGTGTCTCCCAGCAGTCTCAAGAGCATGGAGGAAATACCAAGAGACAGGCAGTTACTCTAGGAGAGCTGGACAGGGCCGTAGAAGGTCCTTAACCCATCAGCAGGATCGGTGTCTGCTCCTTTGTGCAAGAAGGAACAGGATGAGCACTGCCAGAGCTCTACAAAATGATCTCTAGCAGGCCACTGGTGTGAATATTTCTGACCAATCAGAAACAGACTTCATGAGGGTGGCCTGAGGGCCCGGCGTCCCCTAGTGGGCCCTGTGCTCACTGACCATCATGACAGAGCTCAATTGGCATTTGCCATTGAACACCAGAATTGGCAGGTCTGCCACTGGCGCCCTGTGCTTTTCACAGATGAGAGCAGGTTGACCCTGAGCACATGTGACAGACGTGAAAGGGTCTGGAGAAGCTGTGGAGAGTTTTATGCTGCCTGTAACATCGTTCAGCATGACCGTTTTGGTGGTGGGTCAGTGATGGTCTGCGGAGGGAAATCAATGGAGGGACGCACAGACCTCTACAGGCTAGACAATGGCACCTGACTGCCATTAGGTATCGGGATGAAATCCTTGGAGCCATTGTCAGACTCTATGCTGGTGCAGTGGGTCATGGGTTCCTCCTGGTGCATGACAATGCCCAGCTTCATGTGGCGAGAGTATGCAGGCAGTTCATGGAGGATGAAGGAATTGATACCATTGAATGGCTTCTATGCTCGCCTGACCTAAATCCAATAGAACACCTCTGGGATATCATGTTTCGGTCCATCCGACGCCACCAGGTTGCACCTCAGACCATCTAGGAGCTCAGTGATGCCCTGGTCCAGATCTGGGAGGAAATACCCAAGGACACCATCCGTCGACTCAATAGGAGCATGCCCCAACGTTGTCAGGCATGCATTCAAGCACGTGGGGGCCATACAAACTACTGAGTATCATTCTGAGTTGCTGCAATGAAATTTCAGCAAAATGAACTAGCCTGCTGCATCATTTTTCACTTTGATTTTTGGGTGTCTTTGAATTCAGTCCTCTGTAGGTTGATAATTTTCATTTCCATCAAACGATGGGCCATCTGTATGTTCCTAACAGATTACCCTGTCCATATCAGTATAGATATCCAGGATGAGATTTTTCCACATTGAGATCTGATGTGTTTTCTGTAATTATTTTGAGCAGTGTGTATGTATAAAAATATATTTTTTATATATATATATATATATATATATATAATTATACAGGATTTATGTAGCGCCAACAGTTTGCTCAGCGCTTTACAATATAAACGGGAGACAATACATCAACAATACAGTTCAATACAAGAGATATATATACACAGTATATATATATATATATATATATTTTTTTTTTTTTTTTTAATTTCTCTTTAAGGGTTAGGGGTTAATTATTCATTTATTGTATTTATTATTTTTATTTACCGTATTTTTCGCTCCATAAGACGCACTTTTTCCCCCCACAAAGGGGTGAAAATGTCAGTGTGTCTTATGGAGCGAATATGGAGCGGCCGGTCTGGTATTTCCACCGCCGCGTCAGAATATTGGGCCGGCCGATCAGCACTGCAGCAGGACCTTACCTGTTCCTCTGTCCAGTCTTCCCGCGCCGGCTTCTTTAGTGTGGGCTCTTGGCTTGACAGCCGGGTCATACTGTCCGCAGTCTCCGGTCATCTCCTGTAATATGTCCGCAGTCTCCGGTCATCTCCTGTAATATGTCCGCAGTCTCCGGTCATCTCCTGTAATATGTCCGCAGTCTCTGGTCATCTCCTGTACTATGTCCGCAGTCTCTGGTCATCTCCTGTACTATGTCCGCAGTTGCTACACTCAAGTGTGAATGCAGCCTTAGGGTCATTCTATGAAAGACATTTAGGGCCCAGTCACACCAGATGCAGTTGGATGCATTTCAGACTGTGTTCCAACTGCACAGCCAGCCTAAAATCCACTGTTTTTACACAGTGAAAACACACACAAAAAGTGTGCAAAGTAAACAAAAATGCATTACAGTCCACATGAAAGCCCAAAGACGTGACCTCACGGGACAATGCAGGATGAAGAAACGTGTGTCACCTGCTTGCGGACACGCACAATAAGTCTGAGGTGTGGGCCTCACTCCCACATGACCCTATATAGGCCACGTATCAGGATTTGTAGTAGCGCCCTCTGTACACTTCTACTTCATTGTTAGGGAACTTTAAACCGCAGGAATTCACCTCACACAGAAACAGAAAGAGCTTCGCACCCAATCAGAACCCACATTCCACAGTACACTATGGGCAGACATACTCCTCGCCGGCCTAGGGCGCCGCACACAATCACTGCCGGCCGCTGCGGTTGTCATAGTGATGTCAGCGTTGTCAGGCGAGGCCGTACCGAGGACAACATGCCGGAGAAGGCTGTGGTCACCGTGAGGTACGGGCCGTACATGAACTGCTCCGGGATGGTGCAGCACACACTGTCCCGGCTGGAGGGGCTGAGAGGTAAGAAGGACGTCTGTCCATCCTCCATAGTCCTCCTCACACCTGTCCGCCCTCCATAGTCCTCCTCACACCTGGCCGCCCTCCATAGTCCTCCTCACACCTGGCCGCCCTCCATAGTCCTCCTCACACCTGGCCGCCCTCCATAGTCCTCCTCACACCTGTCCGCCCCATTCATTATACATAGGACACCTACACCCTGCACAGCGGGAGGAGACTGAGGTGTGCGGACTGTACAACACTTCATTATCCTTTCTGAATGTATACAGTAGCCAAATATGTACAACACGGACACGAAACTCCGATTCCAAAAGAAACAAGATTGCACTGAAGTTTGTATCTTTAAAGCGGTAATGAATCCAAAAATGTAACATTGCAGGTTAGCAATAATTAGATGTGGTGGCTGCATTAGTTTTCTTTTTTTAGGCCTTTCCCCTCTGTTTTCACCTGACCTGACCAGGAACACACCTCCTGTGCTATCCACTTCAGTACTGGACACTTTCAACACTTTTCCCCCCTTCCTGCCCAGGCCAATGTTCAGCTTTCAGCGCTGTCACACTTTGGATGGCAATTGCGCAGTCATGCAACATTGTACTCATATGACATTTCATTTCATGTTCTCCCTGTGCCTGCATGGGTTTCCTCTGGGGACTCTGGTTTCCTCCCACACTCCAAAGACATGCTGGTAGGTTAATTGGATCCTGTCTAAATTGGCCCTAGTATGTGTATGTAGGTTATGTGAGTTAGGGACTTTAGATTGTACAATATATATGTAAAGCACGGTGTAATCTGACAGCGCTATATAAGTACCTGAAATAAATAAAATAAATCTTTTTTGAAACAGAGCATTCTTTTGGTGGTATTTAACCACTTCAATACCAGCATTTCCCCTCACTTCCTGCTCAGGCCAATTTTCAGGTTTCAGCGCTCTCGCACTTTGAATGACAATTGTGTGGTCATACAACACTGTACCTAACTAAAATTTTATAAATTTTCTTCACACAACTAGAGCTTTCTTTTGGTGGTATTTAATCACCGCTGGGGTTTTTATTTTTTGCTAAATTAACAAAAAAAGACTGAAAATTTTGAACCCCCCCATGTTTCTTTTTTCTGTTATAAAAGTTTGCAAATAAATAATTGTTCTTCATAAATTTAGGCCAAGATGTATTCTGCTACATTTCGTTGGTAAAAATAACCCAAATCAGTATTTATTATTTAGTCTGTAGGAAAGGTATAGAGTTCACAGAATATGGTATATATCTGAAAATTGACCAATCCTGAAGTACTGACGGCCAATCTAATTTCTTGAGGCTCAAAAATGTCAGGACAGTACAGATATCCCCAAATGACCCCTTTTTGCAAAGTAGACAGTCTGACATATTTCATAAGAGACATGGCAAGTTTTTTGAAGTTGTAATTTTTTTGTCATAATTTTTCAGAAAATGAAGAAATAAAAAAAATTATTTCTTTTTTTTTTTTTTACATACTGTCACCAATGCAGTACAGCATCATCATATAACTGGTGTGGCAGTGACCAGGGACACTGACTGGTGACAGTACGAAAACTTTTTTTCGATTTGTCGCTATTTACCATGTTTTGCTACGTTTTTCAAGGAAAAAAATCTCTGGAAAAAAACACTGGACTAGTGGGTTTCTAGTCAAAAAACACCCCTGCGAAAAACCGCTGATTACAGTCTATGTGTGCATGGACACATAGGATAACATGCTGGGGGGGGGGGGGGGCTGTAGAAAAAAACATCAAAAGACAAAATCAGCAGCTGGAAAAATGTCACGTGTACATGAGGACTAAAGGCTTTACATAAATAAAAGCTGAGCATTGTAAGCTTTCTTGCCAGTGGTACATGTTTGTCTCAACTGTGTAATTGCTACTTTGTCTGGACAGTTTGGTCTAATAAAGTAGAACTGTAGACAAAACTCCCCCCCCCCCCCCAGTTTGGATAGAGTATGGGAGGGTTATAGCCCATCAGATTTTTTTCTTTTTTTTTTTTTTTAAACTTTGACAGGCTTCAGGTAAAGGGTCTGGATGCACCTGTTCTTCCCAGGCTCACTAAAAACACCAAGAAGGACGCACAGCAGCTAAACACCCCTGTGTACAAGAAGCCATATAAAAAAAAGGCACAAAAGAGAAAAGGCAATCCTAAAACAAGTTATTAAACAGTTTTTGAAATTTATTTATACAACTGCATATTACTTGCGTATACAAACAAACCCTACATCATAAACGTGTTTGAATATAAACCCCTTAAATCACAATGAAATGCCCACAGCAAGGCTCCATGCACAGGGGGAGAAAAAATGCCACTAATAGTAGAGGCATCTGGTGTTTTTTTTTATGCAGTTCTATGTTAGCCTAGGTGGCTATGAATATCAGACACTTCGATAAGCATTTAGAGGCATAACATAAAAAAACAAAAAAAAACACATACCAAAGCTGCATTCAGAGAAGGAGTTTAGGAGTATAATTTGCACATGTATGAGCCTAAATGTATTCCAATGGCCAGAAATTAATATTTGCCTTGTAGAATGCATTTATGCCTAATGCAATACATACATAAACATGCATACATGGGATGACATCATTCTGACACCAGCCAATCAAGGGGCTGAAAACCCAGCACCCAGAAATAGCTGGGGTGCAAGTGACAAAGGCTGGCAAGGGGTTTAACAGCCACATCACTGGAATGAGGAGGTGAGTGTTTCTCGCAGTTTAGCTCCGCTTCAAATTTAAATTTCTATTTTACATTTCTTGCATTGCTTCCCCAGAGGCTAACACTGTACCAGGGAGGGAGAGTGCTCTGCGAATGAAGGCAAATATTTTGAAACTATAACATTCTTAGGCCCAGTATACTTTTGTGGTTGGGGGTGGTACAAACAGGCAGGTAAGCCATGTTTTTTCTACCCCTTTCCCAATCACCCCTCCCCAAACTATAAAGGTAGCAGGAGTATACACATGCGGTAGCCACAACAATTTTGTGCAGCCCAAATTACTTGAATGTAGGAATGCATCGATACCCTTTATCTACGAGTAATGGTACTTTACGCTGTGATTTACGTTCATACAAAATGAATGGGCGCAAATCCCACTGCAAAGAATGGCATGCAATTTGAACAGGAATGTGGTGCCATTCCTGTCCGAATCACATGCGGTTTCCCCACCGCTCCTGTGTGAACCCAACCTGAGTTCACACAGGAGTGGTGCAGGAAACCTTGGTGCACTGATCCCATGCGGTCACACAACTAAAAGCCGATTGACAGGTCTGGGGATTTAAAATTCCTGCCTCTCCTTGCAAGAATGACAGTACTTCTGATTGGTCAGCACCATCATGGTGCTGACCTATCAGATGCCATCTAGGCCATACAGTCATCCCTGCAATGAGAGAGGAAAGAAAGCTGCTTCACAGGTCTGGGGATTTGAAATCCACGTCGCTTTCTCTCCTCTCCTTGCAGGAATGCAGTGTGATTTGCACCAATTCATTTTGTATAGACGTAAATAAAATCAGTTTCAGGTATTGGGAGTATCTTGTACTCATGAAAATACTTGCTGTCTTGGTGCATCCCTACTTGAATGGGTCACATTTGGCAGGCTTTTAGGGGTTAAGGAACCATGCAGTTCAGTTTGATTTTTTTTTTTTTTCCTGTGTCAAAAATGCACAGATAGTAGGTTATATAGTTTCCAAAGGCATAGTTCACACCAATGCAGTCAGTATCAGTGCGTTTCAGTGGAAAAAAAAAAAGTAGAACATGCTGCGTAGTTTTCTGGATTGAACTGTACTGGATCGTGGTAAAACACACCCGAACATACCTAAACTCACCCAGTAAGTACCAGAATGCACATTTCCTTATTTAAGGTGAAGAAAGAAAAAAAAGGAGGGGGTGGGGAATGCACTGGAACGTATCAAATAGGTCAGAATGTCTTTTGCAGAAATGCATCTGCAATGCATCCAGACTTTCTATGATGTGAACCGGCCCTAAAACAGACAGTGAGGCGGTGACATTGCATCTCGCTCTTCATAGGGCTAATGTAAGTGTAAACAAGCCCTTGGTGTGCTTTCAGTCACAGAACAATCTTCCTCTTGTGGTACAATGATACAAATTATTTACATTCCTACACTAATGGCACAGCATGGGCACACTGATACATTGTTTTCTTTTAACTTACTGGCCAGTGCAGTATTGTTATGTTGTATATTTCTAAAATATCAAACTATCCATATAACAACACAGGTTCCCAGGAGAGGTACCTCAGGAGAAAACATAAATCAATACTGGAATTAGTGAGCTCAACACTAACCCCTTAGCATTTAGTCAGGACTAGTAGTTG